TGGACTTATGAATCGGCCATGCTGCAAGCAGGATGTGGGCGATGTACAACCTCAAAAAACATTTAAAATACAATGAATACACACACACACATATATGTATGTATGTATCAATTTACCAACAGTAGATCAATAACATGAAACCAATCCAAGTAAGAACATAAGAGACGCCAATGTTGGATCAGGCCGAAGACACATCCAGTCCAACACTCTGTCACACAGTGGCCAAAAATACCAGGTGCCATCAGAATGTCCACCAGTGGGGCCAGGACATCAGAAGCCCTCCCACTGTTGACCCCCTGCTTAGGATTGCTCTGAAAGTATAATTGCCTCCACCAACCATTTAACACTTTTTCACATACCCAAAAAACTATGGTGATGCAACAAAAATTCATAATAAAAACTTCAACCCTTTTGATGGATAAATGTTGCTTCTTGTAATTTTAGAGCAGCAATCAAGACAGAGAGAATTTGCACATGACAAAAATAACTGCACCCTAGTACTTTTAAATGTTAAAATGTCCTAGATGAAAGGATAGGTCATGCATAAAAACAGCCTGACTTGCTTTTTTGCCAGGTTAACACAGGACATTAGATGCCCTCCCACTGTTGACCCCCTGCTTAGGATTGCTCTGAAAATATAATTGCCTCCACCAACCATGTAACACTTTTTTCACATACCCAAAAAACTATGGTGATGCAACAAAAATTCATAATAAAAACTTCAACCCTTTTGATGGTTAAATGTTGCTTCTTGTAATTTTAGAGCAGCAATCAAGACAGAGAGAATTTGCTCATGACAAAAAGAACTGCATATTGCTAAATGGTTTGGAACCTACACCCTAGTACTTTTTAAATGTTAAAAATGGATAGGTCAGGCATAAAAACAGTCTGACTTGCTTTTTTGCCAAGTTAACATTCCAATGAAACTTACAAAATAATTATTTGTTGTTTTGGTCATGCACTAACCAGCTGTTCATTCTCATTTCAGGTCAGTGCCAAAGCATTATCAATATGTCTTGGCTTTGATATTTGCTGTAAAGGAGATCAATGAAAATTCTGACATCTTGCCAAATGTAACTTTGGGTTTTCACATCCTCAACAGCTACTATCTTACAAAGATGACATATAAGGCCACCCTGAATCTGCTTTCCACACAGCAGAGGTTTGTCCCCAATTTCAAGTGTGATTTCAAAAACAATCTTGTTGCTGTCATTGCAGGGCTTTGTTCTGAAACATCTGTCAATGTAGCTACTATTTTATCCCTCTACAACATCCCACAGGTAGGCCCTTATATACGGTCATATGGAGATTTCACATATGGTAACCAAAGGAAGGTCCTGTAGTAATATGCCTGAAAAATGTCTACATGTTTTCTTTCAGTTCACTTTTGGATCATTTCCCACAGTGCAGGAGAGCAAAATGCTATTCCCTTCCTTGTACCAGATGGTTCCAAATGAGGTCTATCAGTACATGGGCATTGTACGTTTACTTCACCATTTCAGATGGGCATGGATTGGGCTTATGGCTGTGGATGACAACAATGGAGACCGTTTTCTGCAAGCCGTGATCCCTTTGCTTACACAAAACAGGATCTGTTATTCCTTCATGCTAAAAACACCCAAAAGAACTTACATTGGTGATCTAATAGAGACTCTGATGACATTGGAGAAACAGTTTTCCATTCTCCTTGAAAGCAAAGCCAATGTATATTTTACATATGGAGAGACCTCATCCATGTTCCTTTTAAGAATGTTGCTGCATAATACAGAAATGTCCCAATTGCTTATGGTAGGTAAAGTCTGGGTCGTTACATCTCAATGGGATTTTGAGACATTTTCCGTTCTAATCACCCAGTTGATAGGAATCTTCCATGGTGCCATATCCTTCGCAGTTCACTCTAATCAGCCGCCAGGATTCCAAAAATTTCTACAGACGGTAAGACCATCTTGGTCAAAAGGAGATGGTTTTATCCAGGCATTCTGGGAGCATGCATTTGGGTGTGCACTGAACATTTCTGATGGGCTTGAAGAGAACACTGGAACCTGCACTGGGATGGAGAAGCTGGAGAGTCTTCCTGGGATGGTGTTTGAAATGTCCATGACTGGCCATAGCTACAGTGTCTACAATGCTGCTTATGCTGTGGCACATGCATTGCATGCCATGTACATATACAGATCCAGACACAGAAGACTGTTAGGAGAAAGGCAGGGATTTCAGAATGTGCAACCATGGCAGGTAAGTATATCTCTAGACACAATTCTTCCCCAATCTTCTAACTGTTTTTTGGGGTGGGGGGATGTACACATATTGCCTTTTGTGATATATTTCAACCCTGAGCCAAATTCCCTATGTATCTCATGCAAAAAATGTCCCATTTGTTTGTTTCTCGTATCAGAGGCTGTTACATTTCACAGTACTCAAGCATCCAGAACATGGAAACCTACTTTGACATGAGATTAAATATTAGTTTTGGGCAGATTCAACTTTCCCGTTTTGTATTCTTAATAACTCACACCAGTATGCTTTGTCGATGTACACATATTGCCTTTTGTGATATATTTCAACCCTGAGCCAAATTCCCTATGTATCTCATGCAAAAAATGTCCCATTTGTTTGTTTCTCGTATCAGAGGCTGTTACATTTCACAGTACTCAAGCATCCAGAACATGGAAACCTACTTTGACATGAGATTAAATATTAGTTTTGTGCAGATTCAACTTTCCCCTTTTGTATTCTTAATAACTCACATCAGTATGCTTTCAAGATAATTTCCACACCAGTATGCTTTGTCTCCAAGATTATTTTTTTAAAAAAATAAAGCAATGAAATCTATGTTTTGAGCCTAAGCCACTGATAACATAAATACTCATGAATCTGACAGGAAAATGTCTACAATTAATAATTTGTACAGCATAGGATCCTTGGGGCTTTTTTATTATGCCCCATGAACATATGGGTTAATACATGTGGTGAGGTAAACAGTGAACAGCATTTCCGGAAGTTTATTCATGTTGTCATGGACGGCAGTATCTCTGCAGTTTGCTTTTAAAGGCTTCCTGGGTAATAAATATCACGGGGTATAAAAACTAACTGAAAACAGGGTAACTTTTCACCCCAGGTGGTTTTTTTACTTTACAGAAATCAAACTGTAAGTGGTCACTGGCTGTTCTTTGGGAGGGAATTGTCTACTATTGTACAATTGACAATTGGCAACGTCCTAATAGGAAAAATGCAACAACTATTCTGGTCAGTATTCTGCCTGTAAAATGTAACTGAGGAGTACTAATTCACCCCTAGGTCAGAGTTGGTTCTGTCCAATAAGAGTTCAGATACATATTCAAAATGGGACATTTTATTCTGTGTTAACATGTCCCTTGATGATTCTTTAGTCACTGCAAACCACATACTGAATGGCAGTTGCATTTTTGTAAAAAGTAAAAGTAGGTTTCTCATGGGTGACCTATCCAGTAATGTATCCCATGCTGTTCTTTGGGAGGGAATTGTCTACTACTGTACAATTGACAATTGGCAGTGTCCTAATAGGAAAATGGCAACGTCCTAATAGGAAAAATTCAACAACTATTCTGGTCTGTATTCTGCCTGTAAAATGTAACTGAGTACTAATTCACCCCTAGGTCAGAGTTGGTTCTGTCCAATAAGAGTTCAGATACATATTCAAAATGGGACATGTTGTTCTGTGTTAATATGTCCCTTGATGATTCTTTAGTCACTGCAAGCCACATACTGAATGGCAGTTGCATCTTTGTAATAAGTAAAAGTAAGTTTCTCATGGGTGACCTATCCAGCAATGTATCCCGTTTGTTCTTGAAAAGGACATGAGGGATTCAAAATGAAATAAGTGCAGCTGCAGTCCTCCAATATCAAAGAGAAAGTAGTGCCTTTTCAATAAATGCTCAATCTTGTCTGATTCCCACTGGGTTGAAAACCTACCATAGACTGAAAAACTGACTGAAAGGATAACAGAAGAAAAGGAAATTGTTTCTCAATCCAGAATATCAATGCATGTCACATATGAGGGATATAACATTGCAAAGTCAGGAAGCAAATTTTCTCCAGGCCAGTTTGGATGGGGATCCTGGTGGTTTTTTTGTCATCTTCTAGGCATGGAACAAGGATCACTGGGGAGGGAGGTATTTGTAAATTTCCTGCATTGTGCAGGAGATTGAACTAGATGACCCTGGAGTTCCCTTCCAGCTCTATGATTCTGTGAAAGTATGAATGCAAGAATCATAATCAAACTACTGTAAACAATATGACATGCATCGAAAACTTAATATAAATATACATTTAGTGATGTGACCATTATATATACAATATTTCTGCCTAACCTTTGCTGCTTCTATGCATAAGTGCCATATAGCTGCAACCCACAAATGGTGATTCCACCAAGGGGCTTTCAAAGTGGACTTCCAGTTTCAGTGATTCATATGGCGGGTGTGCTCCTAAGATGCTCTGATGAGGGTGGCCCATGACGCGGTGGACTGGAGGGGTGCTGGATTATTTTGGACCCCCCGGGGCCCTTGGAGGGGGCCCTCAGCCTGGAGTGTGAAAGGTGCCTCTCTCGAGGCCGCAGCCAAGGGATTGAGGCACCTCTTTGCCCCGATATGTCCGACTGCTGTGGTGCCATGATGGAATCAAGAGGCATACACCAGACGAGCGAACAAGTGATCCAGCACATTTACAAAGCTCTCCCTACCTCTGCAGCCGGCGTGGAATGAAGCGTGTTACTTTTCATCAACTGGATAGGGGGTTAAGTGGTCATCCGAAATCCCAATTTGTAATGAAGGAGGGGGAGGGAGTCTGCCCCCCCACTAACTCTAAATGAACTTGTTAAGTGATATTCAGGACCAAGAGCAATGGCGTTTTTGGATTAAATCAAGTAAAGTGCAGATCTATCTAAAGCGACTCTATAAACAAACTTTCGCTGACTTTAAAAAACTTTCCCTGAAGTGTAAATAATAACTAATTGGGAAGAAAAGATGGCGACGAGAATGAAGCACTCTCCTGGAACTGCAAGATCAGCACTTCTGGCTGCTAAACCGGAAGTAAATGCCAACTTTCCCAACATATTGGCTACAGCATTGCACCCTCTGTTGGATCAGATGACCAACCTCAATAACAACTTTGAAGCACTTCAAAAAGAATTGAAAGAGACCAATATGAAAACAGAGGAGACAGCAAAATCTGAGAAAAAGTTTGAAGCCAAGACAAAAGCAATTAAGCAAATACTGGAGGTAATGGAGAAAGAGAGTATCTCTGACAAAGAACAGCTTTTAAGACTCCAAATGGAAAAAAAGCTTCTGTTCTGAGACTTCAAGGGGTCCCTGAGCAGAAGGGTGAGAATCTGAAGGAAATCTTAAGTGAAGCGCAGGAAGCAAATTTTCTCCAGGCCAGTTTGGATGGGGATCCTGGTGGTTTTTTTTGTCATCTTCTGGGCATGGAACAAGGATCACTGGGGAGGGAGGTATTTGTAAATTTCCTGCATTATGCAGGAGATTGAACTAGAGGACCTGGAGTTCTCTTCCAGCTCTATGATTCTATGAAAGTATGAATGCAAGAATCATAATCAAACTACTGTAAACAATATGACATGCATCGGAAACCTAATATAAATATACATTTAGTGATGTGACCATTCTATATACAATATTTCTGCCTAACTTTTGCTGCTTCTGTGCATAAGTGCCATATAGTTGCAACCCACTAAGATTGACTCTGTCATAAAAGGGAAATTGTTTTTGGAACAGCAACAAAGGCCAGCGAGTGTTAAAATAATAACAGAGGAAGAAGAAGGCAGCACATATGGGATGGGAAGTTCGCATACAGTGTGCAGTACTCCAGAAGCTTTTTAAGATCCCAAATTTTGATTGAAGTTGTTATAGGCTTCCCAAGTCCCCCCGGGGGGCGGGGAAACCCCCACCCCAGAGGCCCGTTCTCTGCCTCCGGTGGATCGGGCCCCACCCCGACGTGCGCATCACCTGGAAGTGACGCGACCACGCCGGGCATGCTGGGGGCAAGGCCACAGTCATCCGAGGGAAAACTCTATGGTTTTCCCTCAGATGGTCGTGGCCCTGCCCCCAGTGTGCCCGGCGTGGTTGCATCACTTCCGGGTGTCGTGGATGCAGCGCACGCGCACGTGTTCCAGCCGCCAACCGGGACTCCCCCACTCCGGTGAAATTCCGACTTGGCAACCCTAAGGGGCTGCCACCCCAAAACTCCTGAAAATCCAATGATAAGAAGAAATATAGGGGAAAGAATAAGAAATAGGACAACCATATAAGCTTGAAAGTTTAATTGTTTAAGCTGTACATACCTGATTTAAGTACGTAAATACCAGTGTGTAATAGAAGCTTTAAGAAATTGCGCTATTCCTATTAATTTTCTATAGAGGGAACTTTGTTTAAGCTAAAGGTTACTCATATTGTATGATCCTTGTGTAGCTTAAGTTTTAATTTAGTGTTTAAGTGTATGTAGTGTCTTAGTGTTTGTAGTGTTTAGTGTTTGTAGACGGAAAATAATAAAAAAGTTATAAAAATAAAAAGGGGCTTTCAAAGTAAGTGAGAAGCAGAGGTGGTTTGCTATTGCCTTCCTATGAAGTCTCTCTTAGAATCATAGAATCATAGAGTTGGAAGGAACATTCAGGCTCATCTAGTCCAACCCCCTACAAAATGCAGGAAATTCACAACTACTTCCCCACCCCCACCCCTACCCCCACCGACCCCTGTTCCATGCCCAGAAGATAACAGAAGACCTCCAGGATCTCCAGCCAAACTGGCCTGGAGAAAAATTGTTTCCAGACCCCAAAGTGGCAATCAGCATTTTCCTGGGTGTGTAAGAAAGGGTCACAAGAACTAAACACTGGTGCAACCCTTCTTGCCCTCCCCCTCCTGCCTAAGTTCACAGACTAAGCAATGCTTTCAGATGGCCATCTAGCCTCTGTTTCAAAACCTCCAAAGAAGGAGAGGCCACTACATTACTGAAATCAAGATAATCTTAGCGATCTCCCATCCAAGTACTGACCATGCTTAGCTTCTGAGATCTAATGAGATTGAGCTATAACATGCAGCCTTCCCTAAATCATGTGGCTTACTCTGCTTTTATTTGGATAAATTATCTGATCCCCATGTAGGGATCTCACTCCTGCCCGTCATTTTTCCATACTTGGCTATCTACCTGGTGCTTAAACATAACATGGTTCTGACAAAATAAATTTACTGTATAAACTATCTGGTACAGGAGTAACTAGATCAGAATCGGTGAGAACAAGTTGGACTAGATGACCATGGAGGTCCCTTCCAATTCTATGATTCTATGATACTATCGTTTATTGCCTTATTTAAATAATGTTCTTTGTACTGGAAGGCAGAATTGCTGTATACAATCTTAGATAAACCGGGTTACGCTAAATTGCAAGGCAAATGCTTCAACATCTCATTATCTGTAACTCTCATTACTTTTTTCATTTCATTTACAATGCAGCTCCATCATTTTCTGAAGGGCATTTCTTTTAACAACAGTGCTGGAGAAATGGTGCATTTGAATGAAAATGGAGAATTAGTGGAAGGATTTGATATTATCAACTGGGTAACTTTCCCCAATGATTCTTTTGCTAGAATAAAAGTGGGAAAACTGAACCCTCCGACTCCTCAAGGCCAAGAACTAACCATTAACAATGATCTAATTGTGTGGCACAGAAGTTTTAATCAAGTGAGTTGAAGAGGCAGATGCTCCGATCTATAAATGAACTGGAAAAATTCCAAATTAGATATTTACAAGCAAGGGATCGTCAAAGTCTTGAGAAGGGCATCTCATTTTCAATTCCAAATTAGATATTTACAAGCAAGGGCATCTCATTTTTTCATGCATCCCTCCCCCACTATTTCCTCTTTGCCTTCCCTGGCAGTAGGGTTGCCAGGCCCCTACCTGGCACCCAGCAAGGGTGATGTGATGGCATCACGCTAGGTGCATCATCAAGGGATGCTCTAGTGTTCGGGCTTAAAACTCTATGGTACCATACAGTTTTAAGTCTGAGCACTAGAGCATCCCCCAACGACATACCCAGCATGATGACATCACCTCCGGGTGACGTCATCATGCCAGGCACATCGGCCGAATTCAGGCACTTTGGGGCGGAGTTCCCCCCAGCAGCCAGATCTGGGCCAGCAGGTCAGGTGCCCTTAGAGCAGGCAAACCCCTGCCCCCAGGGGGACCTGGCAGCCCTACACGGCAGTCTCCTTTTCTACTTTCTTCTGTTCTTTCCTCCCATCAGCCAACCCCCTATTTTCTGCTCCTCTGTATTCACAACATATGTCAGATTTTTGTATGAAAACTTGGGACAACCTTCAATTTTGGGTAGGAATTCCTCTCCTCCATCAATCCCATTCTGATTATTCCCTTTTCTTGTTGGTAAGGATGTACAAATCCGTTGGGGAGAGATGTGCTTTCTCCTTCAGCCATATACTCCCATTGCCCAAGTGAACATCACAGTAAATTTCTAAATTCCACACTTCATTGCACAACAGCCATTTCTAACTAACTTTCAGTGGAATAGACTGTCACTGTATCTCAGTTATTTTATGATGAGATTTCTCAAATCAAACTTTTGGTGTCTCGGTATTTACACCTTCTAGATATAAGTGCAGCAGAACATTGTGTTGCTCGCCACAATTATTTAGCTGGCTATAGCATTTTTCACCAGTCTGTTTCTGAAACCAGAATAAAGGAGATTTGCCCTATGTATGTCTTAATTATCACATACACCACCTGGTTTTTGGGAACAGTAAGGAAAAACACAATAGCCTGATGTGTAAAAGGAGAGCACTGTGTTCTCTTGGGTGTTACATTTCCAAGTCATGGTTTGCTTCCTTTAGACTGGCTACACTTCCTTGCTACTTTTTGTATGCATTTACTGACAGGTACTGCCACGTTCGGTTTGCAATGACAACTGCCATCCTGGCTACAGCATGAAAAAGAAGGAAGGTGAAACATTCTGTTGCTATGACTGTGCTCCATGTCCAGAAGGAATGTTCTCTGAGCAGAATGGTAAGACAGACAAAGATAAATATCAAGTATGTGCCGTAACAGACACACAGTCAACAAGATGAATAATACAGAGTGGTAGGAAGCTTAATGTATACAGAGCTCACTCATTTCTGAAAATGTGTATAGCAAAATCAAGGTGTTTTATGCAATCTAAGATAAGGTAGGAATCAGGAAATCTTTTATTTATTGGTTCCCCTTGTTGCTTTATGAAATGTTCTGCCATTTCTTAAACTCATCACTCAGTGCATAACATCAGTTTGTAAGCAAATGCACTCCTCCCAATGCAAAAAACAATGTTGATTCTATCATTCAGACATACTCATCTCCATTCCATATGCAAATATTTAAATGTCTATGTACTGAATGAATTCATTTGGACATTTAGACCACACCTTCTTCTATGCTCAAGGTAACCTTTCAAGGATTAGCAGTTGCTTACAGAGTGCAACAATAGAAATATTAGAACAATAGGAGAAGAAATATTATACTGCCAAAAAAAAAGTTGCACAGATTGCAGCCATGGCAGAGATGTAATTACAGATATTGTCAAGAAAACTAGTCCCACAAAACAAGGTCAATTGGAGTGCCACAACCACTATATGCTTCTACTCCAGCATTCCATGCTACAGGGTCAATGCCAGAGACAAAAAGCACCTCATGGAAGAAGTACATATTCTGCAAAATGTGGGCCATGCTACAATGTTGTAGTGATGTAAGACTGAGTTTAGGTTCCTACAGAAGAGGTGATCCATGAGATCTATGAGTCATAGGTTGAAAAGGTCTTCAGAAACTATGTCTTTACAGTAGGATCCAGGGCTTCTTTTCTGAGGGAATGCGCCAGAACAGAATTCCAGAACCTCTTTGACAAAATTCTTTTTAAAATGTTTAAAAGTTCATGAGTTTGCAGTATACAGGTCAAAAACATTTTCCTCTTGAGAGTTCTGGCACCTCTTTAAATAAAACCCTTGTAGAATAAAAGAACAGATAAAAGGAAGTACTTCTTAACCCAAAGAGTGATTAACACATGGAATTCACTGCCATAGGAGGTGGTGGTGGCTACAAGCATGGACAACTTCAAGGGGGAATTGGATAAACATATGGAGCAGAGGTCCATCAGTGGCTATTAGCCACAAGGTATAGATAGGAACTCTCAGTCTGGGACTAGTGACAATCTGTATTCCTGGTGCTTGAGTGGGCAACAGTGGGATGGCTTCTAATGTCCTGGCCCCACTGATGGACCTCCTGATGGCACCTGGTATTTTTGGCCACTGTGTGACAGAATGTTGAACTGGATGGGCCATTGGCCTGATCCAACATTGGCTTCTCTTATGTTCTTATGATACAGTCATTTGTTTCACTCAGCCTCACCCAATTCTGCTCCATAGTACAGCCCTATATCTTCTGGCCATTGTTCACAGAGGGCCCATGATTTCGGCTATCATAGCATTTTGGGATTGTCATATGGGACCCCTCCTCCCTTTTACACCAGTGGAAAATCTGATTGGATCCCAGCCCTGAAGAGGTTTTATTTTTTTCCAGACATGGATGCCTGTGTCAAATGTCCAGAAGATCGCTACCCGAACAAAGACCAAGCTCAATGCATACTGAAAGTTATTACCTATCTCTCTTACAAAGAACCATTAGGAATCATCTTAGCTATACTGGCTATTGGTTTCTCTCTGATCACAGTTTTTGTGCTTGGAACATTCATGAAGTACCGGGAAACTGCTATAGTCAAAGCCAACAATAGGAGTCTCACCTACATTCTCCTTATTTCTCTCCTTCTTTGCTTCCTGTGCTCCTTGCTATTCATTGGACAGCCTGTGAAGGTAACCTGCCTTCTCCGCCAGCCAACATTTGGGATCATATTCTCTCTAGCCCTTTCCAGTGTGTTGGCGAAAACTATCACTGTGGTTTTGGCATTCATGGCTATCAAACCAGCATCTAAAATTAGGAAATGGTTGGGACAAAGACTGGCATATTTAATAGTACTTTCTTGCTCCTTTATTCAGATTGGTATTTGTACTCTTTGGCTAAGTACTTCTGCTCCATTCCCAGATAGAGATATGCACTCTCTGAATGGAAAAATCATACTGGAATGTAATGAGGGCTCAGCTACCATGTTCTATTGTGTCTTGATTTATATGGGCTTCATGGCCTTTGTCAGTTTCACTGTGGCTTTCTTGGCCAGGAAGTTACCCGACATTTTCAATGAAGCCAGATTTATCACATTCAGCATGCTGGTCTTTTGCAGTGTTTGGCTGACCTTTATTCCAACTTACTTGAGCACCAGGGGAAAATACACAGTAGCTGTGGAGATCTTTTCCATTTTATCATCTAGTGCTGGCTTACTAGGGTGTATTTTTTCCCCTAAGTGCTACATCATTATTCTGAGGCCTGACCTGAACAACAGAGAGCAGTTCATAAACAGAAAAAAATTAAAATAATCTACTGGTTTTTGTACATTGATTCTTAAACTTCTTCCTTATGAAGCTGTTTCACAGTAATTCTCAAAAAGCCCTACACTGACTGTGTGAAATAAAAAGGATATATTTTGATCAATGGGAATGGAGATGAGAAGAAGAAGATAAAGATATGTAGAGGCTAGAGAAGTAGCAGCCATTTTAAAGAAGGGTTAAAAAACCCTGAAACTGCTGGAATGAATAGGCAGCCAAAAGCTTATAGAAAGAGAGAATTCATCCAGGCAGCAGCAGTGGGCTGATAAATCCCATCCCATTCAAGTAGAAAACCACAGGGTGATATCAGGGGAAAAGCAGGTAAGCCTGAGCAAAGCACATTTGAAGAATCAAGCATGAGGTTTCCTGGATGGGAATGTTCAAAGCAACTGTCTTATAGAGACCACGTTATTGGAGCTGAAGGTGGCATGTAAGAAACTCACTGTAATGTCTTTGCCATACAATTGCTACCAGGACAGAATGAAAAATCAGCATTACAAATGCACTGCAAATCAACATTCCCCCTCTAGGTTCTAATCTGCTTGGCAGAAAGATGATAATTCATATAGTAATGGTGAGTAGCCAACAGAATCCAAGAGGCTGTTCTTCTGGCTTCAGAACTCAGAATCAGTAGATTCACGGAAAAAGCTAAAAAACCAGTAATTTTCCACAGGAAGGAAGGGAGGAGCCAGAAAGGGAAATATTTTGTTGAAGGGAAAAGAAGAGAAAGGGGTGTACTGATCTGGGCGTACAGGAATGGTTGGAATAAACATAGGCTACTGTATGGTCTAAGATAAAAGAATATTACTTCACGGGATGATGGACACAAACGTCCTCAACTAAGGTTGTCCTATATATTACTATGTACAAGTGCAGAAGTCAGACAGTGAAGAAAGCTGACAGGAAGAAAGTTGATTCATTTGAAATGTGGTGTTGGTGGAGAGTTTTAGGGTTATGGTAGATTACTAAAAAGAGAAATGTGTTCCAGATCAAATCAAGCCTGACTTCCTTCTAGAAGCTAAAATGACTAAACTGGGGCTATTGTACTTTGGTCACATTATGAGAAGACAAGAGTCACTGAAAAAGTCAGTGATGCTAAGAAAAGTTGAAGGCATCAGGAAAAGAGGAAGACTCAACACGAGATCGACTGACTCAGTCAAAGAAGCCATGGTCCGTTTGCAAAACCTGAGCAGGACTGTTAATGATAGGACATTTTGGAGAAGGGTTGGTCTATCCATCAACCCCATAGCTGCCTGAGCTCACCATATTGGATGACACTTTGCATACTGAAGGAGTGTTAAGCCTCCTGCCAAAAGGCCGCAACAATACTATAAGAAGCAAAGGTAAACGTAAATAGATAAATGTATAAGAATAACAGTTGAAGGATAAGTTACCTGTGGATATGAATAAGGGGAAAAGGTGGTATGGAGAAAATTTAAGAATTGGGATGGAGTTTGGAGCACTGTGGGAAGCCGAGAAGGGGGGGGAAGGGAGGAGGGATGGATATATAATTGTATAAGTTTTGAAGTATGTTTGAACTTTTTAAATTATATCCTAATAAATTGTCTCGGAAAAAAAAGAAGAAGCAAAGGTAAACGTGATCAGCTTTAGTCAGTGAGCTGTAGGCAAAATTAGATTTATAACCAATGTTGGGTCCAGTATAACCCCAAGGCTCTTGATTGAGTGAGCAAGGGTCAGCTGAACTCCATCAAAAGTAGGGACCTCCTGGTTGCGACCACTGGAATATGCAAGGTCTATAGTGCAGCTTTATGAAGAAGATCACTCTATAGGGGGGCAGCTGAAGGACTGGTAATTAGCAAAGTTGATTACGGACTGCCCACAGTTTAGTTTAGTTTAGGTTTATAATTACGGTCATAAAACCAGCATACAATACAAACATGCCCACAATTTCAAATTATGTCCTTGCTGTCTCCTGATTGGCTCTTCTAGAGACTTCTTGCTCCTGCATAGCTTCCTTCTTGATGTTTTTCCCCTTCAGCAGTTAGGTTAGACAATGAAGAGAAGAAGAAGAGACGAAATTGGATTTACACCCCACCCTTTACTTGGATCAACAGAGAGCAGTTCATAAACAGAAAAATATTAAAATAATCTACTGGTTTTTATACATTGATTCTTAAACTTCTTCCTTACGAAGCGGTTTCACAGTAATTCTCAAAAAGCCCTGCACTGACTTTGTGAAATAAAAAGGATATATTTTGATCAGATGAGAAGAAGATAAAGATATGTAGAGGCTAGAGAAGTAGCAGCCATTTTAAAGAAGGGTTAAAAAACCCTGAAACTGCTGGAATGAATAGGCAGCCAAAAGCTTATAGAAAGAGAGAATTCATCCAGGCAGCAGCAGTGGGCTGATAAATCCCATCCCATTCAAGTAGAAAACCACAGGGTGATATCAGGGGAAAAGCAGGTAAGCCTGAGCAAAGCACATTTGAAGAATCAAGCATGAGGTTTCCTGGATGGGAATGTTCAAAGCAACTGTCTTATAGAGACCACGTTATTGGAGCTGAAGGTGGCATGTAAGAAACTCACTGTAATGTCTTTGCCATACAATTGCTACCAGGACAGAATGAAAAATCAGCATTACAAATGCACTGCAAATCAACATTCCCCCTCTAGGTTCTAATCTGCTTGGCAGAAAGATGATAATTCATATAGTAATGGTGAGTAGCCAACAGAATCCAAGAGGCTGTTCTTCTGGCTTCAGAACTCAGAATCAGTAGGTTCACAGAAAAAGCTAAAAGACCAGTAATTTTCCACAGAAAGGAAGGGAGGAGCCAAATAGGGAAATATTTTTTTGAAGGGAAAAGAAGAGAAAGGGGTGTACTGATTTGGGCGTACAGGAATGGCTGGAATAAACATAGGCTAATGTATGGTCTAAGATAAAAGAAACATCCTCAACTAAGGTCGTCCTATATATTACTATGTACAAGTGCGGAAGTCAGACAGTGAAGAAAGCTGATAGGAAGAAAGTTGATTCATTTGAAATGTGGTGTTGGTCATTTCATAGAAAACGAGGTGCAGGAGCTCATTAGCATAACTCATTAGCATAAAATTTGCATATGCCACATCCCCTGACATCACTGGAAGTGTGTAAGAAGGCAATACCCACTGCTCAGGTTCCACTGGACTGTTTTGGATTGCTAGCTATGGGGGCGGGGACGTGCGGATCCTCATGCTCCTTGTGGCCCAGGCTGTTGGGAGCAGGGGGCGGGGCTTGTTGCATGTGCCCACCCCCTGGGCTCTTTACTGCCGGAGCTCCTGTGCGCTCCTGCAGGAAATGACCCCTGAGTGTCCCTTATCAAAAGAAGGACAGTGGGGAAGTATTGAGTAGAACATTATATGTTTTAGCATGTGGCTCTTCTCAACTGCCTGTTTCAGTTTGCTTTTAAAAATACCTTCTGTATACATGAACAGAGTGTCACCCATCTTTCTTCTTGCCAGGGCTAACAGCCTCTGTGGGTAGGGGATATTTTGATAGGGGAAGCAGTGCACCTGCTTAGGACTTTTATGTCTCTGTTCCTCTGTTTCTCCCTTTCATAGAGATGCAGTGTGGTGTAGTGGATAAATGGAGGACTAGAACCCCGGATGACATGGGTTATGTTACATGGGTTATGTCACATGTGTCATCTACATGCATCATTACTGCTCTAAAGCTGTATCTCAGACATCTTCTTTGGATGGTTCTCATTTTTCACATCCTCCAAAATGGCACTGCTTATTTAGACACCAGATACCCTTAATTCTGTCTAATTGTACCATCTCCAACCACTGTTATATTTGCATTTGTTTGATTCTACTCTTTGTTTGCTTGAGTGGTTTTAGACAATGTTGCTTTGTTATAATAAAAACACACTTTGTTATAAAGAAACCAATCCATATCGACATATCCACAAATAGAAGGAGGCTTAATTTCCACAGCTTGTGCAAATACATATCTATGGTGCTCTTGCACTCCCCCCCCCCACTGAAGACACAATACACCAATATGTGAGCTGAACAACTTTTATTTTTTACTATTCTACATCACTGACCCATCAATGAAGAATAATCTGCCAGTTAGGTCTCTCCAAGTGTGCAATGTTTAAATATATTCAGGCTTAGTCAAGTGGAAGCCCCCTGCTCCTCTAAAAAAAGGGTGAGTGAGTGGGAACAATTATGTTTGTCAACTATTTATTGATTTAATTCATTTATACCCTGTCTTTCTGACCAATGGAGACCCAAACCAGCTCACATCATTTCTCCTCTCCACCATTTTATCCTCACAACAACCCTGTGAGGCATGTTAGGTTGAGAGTATGTCAGTGGCCCGTGGTCACCCAGTGAACTTCGATGGCACTTTTATGTTAATTCAAGCACAAACAACTGTCATATTAAGAAGGCAAGACATGAGAAAATTCAGAGAAACTTAAATGCTTTCATTTTTTCTCCTTATTAACTGCTCCCTCTTATTTAACTCAGGCCTTAGAATAATGACATAGCATTTGGGGAGAAAAATGCACCCCAATAAACCTGCAGTGGAGGCTAAAATGGAGAATATCTCCACAGCCACCATATATTTTCCTTTGGTGCTCAGGTAGGTTGGAACAAACGATATCCAAACACTGCAAAAGACCAACATGCTGAAAGTGATAAATTTGGCTTCATTGAAACTATCAGGTAGCTTCCTGGCACAGAAAGCCACAATGAAGCTGACAATGGCCAGGAAGCCCATGTAGCCCAAGACACAGTAAAACATTGACAGAGAGCCCTCATTGCATTCCAATATTATGATTTTGTTCAGTGAATGCATGTCAGCATCTGGGAATGGAGGGGAAATACTGAGCCAAGAAGTACATATACATGCCTGAATGAAGGAGCAGGCAAAGACAATAGAATTTGCTATTTTTTTCATTATCCATGTCCTCCCCTGGGATGCTGGGTTGGTAGCCATAAAAGCCAGAATCACAGTGATGGTTTTGGCCATGACACTCGAAAGAGCCACAGAGAAGACAATGCCAAAAGCAGTTTGTCGGAAAAGGCAGCTGACTTTCCCAGGCTTTCCAATGAACTGCAAAGTGCACAGGAAGCAAAGAAAGAGAGCAAACAGCAGAATGTAGGTGAGGCTCAGATTGTTGGCTTTGACAATGGGAGTGTCCTTGTGTTTCCTGATGATTTCGAAGACCAAAGCTGTGATCAGAGAGGAAGCAATAGCCAACATAGCTAAGAAGAACCCAAATGGTTCTTCATATGAGAGATAGACTGTAATCTTGGGAAAGCATTGGTTGTGGTGGTGGTCAGAATAATGGTCTTCTGGACAGTTGACACAGTAATCCATATCTGAAAAAAGGAAGATTTATATAAATATTTCAATTCTTTGACTATCTCCTATGAGAAAACAGTCCCAGTAAATGAAAAAATAAATAAAATAAAGCTTTTGCTATTCCAAATGAGGTTGTACATTGTAAAATGTTACTTTAGGAATTTAGGATGTGAACTAGGAAGCACCATATTCAGACCTCATTCAGCCTTTAACTCCCTAGCTGGCCTTTAGCAGGCCTCTAATTTTGCCTTACTCTTCAATTCTAATATTAACATGTGATAGGTTGCAGCCAGCTTTTTCTGTGCTCAAAAGGGGGGGGGATCTCCTTTAACTACCAGGGGTCGGTTGGAGCCGGAGCGTGGCGGAGCGGTCCTCCAGTAGTGAGGAGGTGAGAGGGTGGGCACATGACCAAGTCCCACCCCCTGTGCTCAGCAATTGCTGGGTAGGAGGAGGGAGGTCAGTAGGAACAGACGGTGGGTGCTCCGCAGGTAAAGACTTTGACTCCCAAAGCAAAGGGGCCAGTGCCAGCTGGAGTTCACACAGGGCACCTGCGTGGTCCTAGTATTCGCCCGCTCCCACCCCCTCACCATCTCTATGGCCTGCAGTTCCACATGGGGCCACTACAAGGCCTTTCCGCCCCCCCTCCCCATCTCCGTGGCCTGCAGCTCCATGCGGGGCCGCTACAAGGCCCTCCCCCCTCACCATCTCTGCAGCTCGCGGTTCCATGTGGGGCCACTACAAGACCCTCCTGCCGCCCCCTTCACCATCTCTTCAGCCCGCAGTTCCACATGGGGCTGCTGCAAGGCGCTCCTGCCTCCCCCTGACCATCTCCGTGGCTCCGTGCAGGGCCGCTACAAGGCACTCTCCTTACCATCTCCGTGGCCCACGGCTCCATAAGGGGCCGCTACAAGGCCCTCCTGCCTCCCCCCTTTCCATTGCCATGGCTTGCACCCAGCCGCGGGACCCAGGGAAAAGACTGCCCACCCACCCCCATAGCTAGCAATCCAAAACAGTCCAGTGGTACCTTTAAGACCAAGAAAAAAGGAGAAGCAATGGCTGAGGGGTGACATGATCGAGGCTTATAAGATTATGCATGGGATAGAGCAGGTTGAGAAAGAAGTACTTTTCTCCCTTTCTCACAATACAAGAACCCGTGGACACTCAATGACATTGCTGAGCAGTCAGGTTAGAACAGATAAAAGGAAGTACTTCTTCACCCAACGAGTGATTAACACATGGAATTCACTGCCACAGGAGGTGGCGGCAGCTACAAGCATGGATGGCTTCAAGAGGGAACTGGATCAGTGGCTATTAGCCACAAGGTATAGACAGGAACTCTCAGTCTGGGGCAAGTGATGCACTGTATTCTTGGTGCCTTGGGGGGGAGGGGCAATGGTGGGAGAGCTTCTAGTGTCCTGGCCCAACGGGTGGACCTCCTGATGGCACCTGGTATTTTTGGCCACTGTGTGACAGAGTGTTGGACTAGATGGGCCATTGGCCTGATTCAACATTGGCTTCTCTTATGTTCTTATGTAAGGTTTATTCAGGTACAAGCTCCCCCTCCTCTGTGAGGGCAGATCTTTGTGTCCCCCCTCAATAGCTAGCAATCCAAAACAGTCCAGTGGCACCTTTAAAACCAAGTTTTATTCAGATACAAGCTCTCCCTCCTCTGCGAGGACAGATCTGCATGTCCCCCCCCCCCAATAGCTAGCAATCTAAAATAGTCCAGTGGAGCCTGAGCAGTGGGTGTTGCCTTCTGACACACTTCCGGTGATGTCAGGGGCTGTGGCATATGCAAATAAGTGATGCTAATGAGTTATGCTAATGAGCTCCTGTGCCTCTTTTTCTACGAAATGGCCGCTGGGGACATTTGATGTGTAGTTGGAGGGGAGGGGGAATGCTAGGTGGGGAATCCCCTAGGTGCAATCAGGTAAGAGACATGAAAGGAATAACTCTCCTTGTCTATATGATCCATTTTTGTAAGAAAGAGAGAAAGAAAGAAAACCCTCTACCTGCCACTTGTTAAATGAGGGGAAACCTCACTTGCATAACAATTCACACATAATATAACTACGATGCTGGTGAGCATTTTGTTTACATCGGTTTCTCTTTCCACCTGAAATCTGGGTGGTAGGCTTCCTTTGATGAGGGGTGAGTTCCCTCAGCATTTTATCCCAATTGGATGTTGGTAGAGGAAGTCGCTGTTGGTGGAGTTTAAATATGCAAGGAAGCAGAGCACCAACTGTTTAAAGAAAGATGTGGGTTTATTTAAAGAAGAACAAACTTGGATAGAACATGGAAGAGAGAGAGAGAGAGAACCATAGTTCTGTCAGAGCTGTTCTTGAAAGGGCAGTTTCTCTCAGAGTTCTCTCGGCCCCACCGACCTCACAGGGTGTCTTTTTTTCTATGAAATGACCCCTGTTAAGTACCAAACAGTATTGTGGGACCTGCATGACCAAGAGGCCATGTGGGAAGGGATCTAGATTGGGGAGGAAAACCGGACAAGACTGTGTGAAGAAACTGGCTGGATCCCACCCATGGATCTGAAATTATGATTTTTTTTGAATGAATTATTGAGGGGGGAAATGCAGAGCACATTGAAATGGGGGGGGGGGATGCCAGGGCAGTTTCTGCCCTGGCTCCAACCTGGTGGGACTCTGCTGAATCACATCCATGCCCTGTGGGACCTGTTCCAGTTCTGCAGGGCCTGCAAGGCAGAGATATTCCACCAGGCATTTGGTTGAGGACAGCAACAGCTCTCTCTGTCTGGCACTCTCACCCCCTGCCTCCCCATGAGGTCAATGGCTCCATCAGGAAAAATGTAATGCCATCATAGGATACTGTTGTGTTTTTATCTCTGTTTTTAAAATTTGCTTCACAATGTTGTATTTGTTATCCTGTTGTATACTTAGGGCTGCCAAGTCCCCCCGGGTGGCAGGGAAACCCCCGCCCCAGAGGCCCGTTCCCCGGCAGCGCCGGATCGGGCCTCGGGGGGAACTCCCCCCCAATGTGCGCATCACCAGGAAGTGACGTGGGCACGCTGGGGGCGGGGCGATGGCCATACAAGGGAAAACTCTATCGTTTCCCCTTGTATGGTCATGGCCCCGCCCCCAGCGTGCCCGGCATCATAATGTCACTTCCCAGTGATGTGCATGTGGCGTGCACGTGCACTCCCGGAACCACCCGGGAGTCCCCCGCGGAACAGGTACGTTGCACTTGGCAACCCTATGTATACTGCCTGAGCCTGGTTTTTCTGGGGAAGTACAGCTTACAGTATGATGATGATGGCGGCGGCGACAACAACAACTCTAACAACAACAACTAATATTACTGTGAATGAGAAGATTACTTCAAGTTCATTCATTTACTTCATTTATAGTTTGCCATTATTGAGAATCAAGGATGATTATGCATTGTAAAAAAAATATGGAATTAACAAGTATTCCAGATATGACGAAGAATGCAATGAAAGCTGCCTAAAAGTTCATGACATTTAAACTATTCCATTTATGAACATGCTCTCCTATTTAATTTTGGGCCATGTTGGTGTATAAGGAATACACATCAGCCCTAGTAAATATATGATTGTGGAGCCTTAATGGGTAACCTTCATACAGAAAATAACAGCAGTGAAACCGTGAAAAGACTCACCTGTATCATAGAGAAGACTTGCCTGTAACATCATAGAATTTGAACAATTGTAGCACATTGAAGGAGTGTTCTAGGATTAGTGACAAGCTCAAGAGACACTACTGTTTCAGTATGTAATTAAATAAGGAAAAGAACCTGTGAATGGCAGGTCTTATCATACGTTTCAGATTGTTTGACGTCTCATTTATACTAGTTTTGTTGAACATTCTCTGTTACGCCATATGATCAATATCTCTATACATCATACCTCCTACCTATCTGTTCAGAGATCATTCCTTCTGGGCATGAAACACAATCATAGCAGCAAAATGCCTCTTCCTGCTTCTTTCTTTTGCTGTAGCCAGGATGACAGTGATCATTGCACACAGAAATAGGCAGCACCTGTTCATAAACATAAGAGGCAATTAGGACACAAAGAGATAGATCCCACCAACTTTTCTGCTGGAGAAAGAAGGTAAAAAGGAGGCTACTGAAAAGGCTATGCCAGGAAATGTGGGATCCACATGGAGAAAAGCCACACAGGATGGGGGCAGCAGTGGAGAGCAAAACTGGATGAGATGGAGTGGAATAGATGGTAGGATCCAACCCACAGCACAGTACAAATGGCTCATCTACAAGAAGTGGTATGACTTGGAATGATCAAGCCAAACTGTGATCTTTGAATACAGAATGAAGGCAGTACTTTCCCTTTTGGTCAAAGATAGGGAGGCATTACTGATTACTGACTATCACGCAGGTCTGAAACACAGGATTTCAAAATGTTTTGCTCCATTCAGGACCAGAATATGCAAAGATTTAGCTACTTGACAATGGTGCTTCAGTTTGTTTTCAGTTTATTTTCAGAATTGTTGAGAATAATTGAGATGTTATACTATTTTAGATTGGTGAAAGCTAGAATACACCTCAATGATTTCCATAGGATTGTTATTAATTTTTAATTAATACACACACACACACACAAACACACTTAAGTCATAAAACAAGAAGTAAAATCATTTGGGATTTCTTCTCTTTTCATTTTTTTTAAAAATTGTGGAGATGGACTGATGGAGTCAAAAGTTAACTGTAACAATAGTGGGAATGGACATGTGGTGAAAATGTACATGTGAAGACGCTGAGATATCCTCACTAGGATTGTGCAGTTTTGTTTTGTTTTTAATGGTGCTTTTAGTTCGGGTCTATTGGAATTGGAAAAAAGAGAGAATTTCTGAAAAATCCCGAATCCCAATACTGGTATGGTATTTGGATCTGGGTTTTTTGGAATTCCTGGATTTTTTGGTGTCCAATAGATCCAAGAAGAAAAGTACCAGTAAAAAACAAAGGAACAAACAAGTCCAGTTCTCATACTGGCTTGGCTTCTCCTGCAGCCTGGTTTAAACCGGGCTGCAGGGGAGGCCAGCTCCAGAATCTGCTGCACTGCAGGGAGAGTATACCCTACTGCACGCAGATCCTAGCTGGGTAAGCTTCTCCTGCAGTCCAGTTTAAAGTGGGCTGCACAAGAAGCCAGCTTCAGGGTCTGCTGTGCCATGGGGAGACTGCAGCCAGTTTAAACTGCCTGGTTTGAACTGGACTGCAGGAGAACCCAGCCCCAGGATCTGCCATGCCGCTGAGAGATTGCTCCCCGCAGTATGCAGATTCTCACTGGGCTGGCTTCTCTTGTAGCTCAGTTTAAACTGGGCATCAGGAGAAGCCAGTCCCAAGCCAAGCTGGGGGGAGCAGTCCCCCCATAGCTAGGGGTTTTGGGGGGAGGGGGCCTGGGGGGGGCACCAGCTAATTAAATCAAATGATACCCAGGCAAGGGGGGTCTGCTTGGTGTGCACCCACACAGCTCCCACTAGAGCCTTCCTCTGAGGTGAGCCAGAATCCCAATGTTAATAGACACTAAGGCTCCTCGGAGGTCTAGCAAAACTGCCGTGTTTTTGTTTTTTTTTAAGGAGAGGGGGGATCAAACTTCCTCCCTCCCTCCTTCCCTGAGCTGATGATTTGAAGCCTGGAGCAGAAAATCCAACAGGAGGAACGAACTGCTGCAATCCGACCAATGTGTGTGTGACTCGGTCAACTACCGGTTGCTGCTGGGTCCTAATGAGACTCAGCTCAAACAGGGAGATGCCGACTCATATTCATGAGGCGATCGATCAGGGGGCAAGGGGGCTGGAGGGAGGGAAGGGGAGCTGAGGATTGGGGGGAGGAGCACACAAAAACAGCAGGGAGGTTGGGCCCCATGGGCCCCACATTAGCTAAGGGCCTGAACTACAGCAAAAGCCCAACAAACAGTTGAGAGGTTGGAGCAATCTGCTATTGCTTGTCTGCTGTTTTCCAATCTACCCAGTAATTCCCAACTGTATCCAGGATTTTTCAGGAACTGTTTTTATGTTTTCCTGGAAAACCCGGTTACATTTGGGAAGCCAAAATACACCTGAAACTACCAATAAGGTATCTTTTGCTTATGTTTTGGTATTTTTAGTAATGTTTTTGGCTCGGGTAGATCCAAATGCACACCCCTAATCCTAACACCCAATTGCTCACAAAAAGGAAAGGAACTATGGTTTATAAACTAAATTCTACCTAGCATGTACCGATCACTAGGAATGATGAAATGTTTAAAATGAAATTTCCTGATTTTTTAAAAATATACTATTGCATCCCCATCTTTCTCTCTCACCTGGTTAAAGCCTTTGTGCCACACTATCTGAGCATCATTCAGAATTAACTCTTGGCCTGGAGAAGCCTGAGGATCCAGCCTTCCCACTTTTACTCTAACAAACGAGGCATTTGGGAAAGTCACCCAGTTGGTTACATCAAAAACTTCAACTAATTCCCCATTTTCATTGAAATGCACTGTGTCCCCAGCACTGTTGTTGAAGAATATGTTTCTTAGGAAGCGATGGAACTAGAATTAAACAGAATATGGAAGAAAAGGCAAATGAATTCTTGAAATCTTTATGATGCAATTTAAAATGGTCTCACTTCTCCATATCTTTTATTGTATATACAAATCATTCCATAAAACAAATAATTCAAATTAGCTATTTCCCCCCCTGCAGTGCATTGTTTCATTTCTAAACGATTCAGAATGAACAATAGTGGAACAAGCCACATGTTATACGACGGTATACCTTACAAATTTCTGCATTCTCAGAAGGTCATTTTATTCTGTATTAGTGAAAATCTCCCCCAAATTGTTCCACGTGAGGCACAATAGACTAATTCCCCATTTTCATTGAAATGCACTGTGTCCCCAGCACTGTTGTTGAAGAATATGTTTCTTAGGAAGCGATGGAACTAGAATTAAACAGAATATGGAAGAAAAGGCAAATGAATTCTTGAAATCTTTATGATGCAATTTAAAATGGTCTCACTTCTCCATATCTTTTATTGTATATACAAATCATTCCATAAAACAAATAATTCAAATTAGCTATTTCCCCCCCTGCAGTGCATTGTTTCATTTCTAAACGATTCAGAATGAACAATAGTGGAACAAGCCACATGTTATACGACGGTATACCTTACAAATTTCTGCATTCTCAGAAGGTCATTTTATTCTGTATTAGTGAAAATCTCCCCCAAATCGTTCGATGTGTCTACACAAGAGGCACAACAGAACAATATCTTCAATACTGTCAGATATGCCGAGACAATACCTTTCATTGAATAGTACCTATGTGAGCCTAAACATGTTGTTGCTGTTCAGTCGCACAGTACCGTATCTAAATAAGCCTTAAATATACAATTGCCCTGACCTGGATGGTCCAGGCTAGCCCATGCTGATCAGATCTCAGAAGCTAAGTAGGGTTGGCCTTGCGTAACGTTTGGATGGGAGGCCACCAATGACATCCAAAATGTCTGTGCAGAGGCAGGCAATAGCAAACCACTTCTGATTATCTCTTGACTTGAAAACCCTACAGGGTTGCCATAAGCCAGCTGTGACCTATATTGTTGATGTATTGCTTTGAATGTTGATGCCATATTGCTCTTTAATTTTAAAGGATTGACAGACTCCTGCATAGGGGCATTAATTTTTTTGTAATAAAACTGGGTAAGTGGAATGTAACTATGCTCTCTCCCATGCCCTAATACAGTTCTTCAAAATACTTTTCTTCTTAGCCAGGCTCTGGTAAGTCAACTGGGATGTAATTAAAATGCTGAAAGAAATGTAATGCAGTGAGAGAAAGTGAGAGAAGGAATAGGGATAGTACCAAATACCACATGATCTGGCAGACTCTATGGTAACAGATGGCAGCTGAACATGTTTTTACTTTTAATATCCATTTTCACAACTCTTCATCATGTTTCACAAAGGAGGCATGGAGTGCCTTTTATCAGCTTTGGCTCATATATAAGCTACAGTCGTCCTGTCTCATTAACAGAGGCTTGATGGGATGTTACTTTTGATTCAGTCAATAACTTATAGACCAGCTAGTTTTAGCAAGCATTATGAAGTGTTTACATGACTCAAGATGTGCATGCTAACTATTGAACAATATGTCCCAGAATAGCCATAAGTTTATATAATGATGTTGACTCTACCCACTATGGATGTGGACCAGTTTGCATTAAAAGAAATTCCATTGTAGTGCGGTTACCTGCCACGGCTGAATATTCCAAGACAACAGCTCCCCTCCCTGAACCAATTTTCCGTGCCTTGATTCAGAGCTATACTCGGCCTGTAAAGCATGTGCCACAGCATAGACCGCATTGTACACATTGTAGCTGTGGCCAGTCATGCTAATTTCAAACAAAACCCCAGGAAGGTCCTCCAGCTTTTCCTCCCCACTGCAGGTTGTCTTGCTCTCCTGATGCGCATTGGAATTTTTCAATGAACAATTAAATGCCCGTTCCCAGAATTCTTGGATAAAGCCATTTTTCTCTCTGTGTAAAGGTTTGATACCTTGAAGGAATTCTTTGAATCCTGGTGGCTGACTAGAGTGAACGGCAAAGGATATGGCACCATGAAAAGTTTCTATGTCCCAAATCCTTTGCATGGATAGTGATTCAAAATCCCATTGGGAAGTAACAATCCACACTTTGTGGAGAGGTGGCAATGAAGACATTTCTGCTGTAAGGAATACCATCCTCAAAATCTGTAGAAGATTAGCCTCTCCATATACAAAATATACATTGGCTTTGCTCTCCAGGAGAACTGGATATTGCTCCAGCAGTGTTGCGAAAACATCAAGATACATGTCCATATAAGTCCTTTTTGGTGTTCTTAACGTGAAGGAAGTACAGATCCTATGTTGTGAAAGTAAAGGAACCACGGTCTGCAAAAACCTGTCCCCAGCATCATCCTCCACAGCCAAAAGCCCAATCCATGTCCATCTAAAATGGTGAAGTAAGCGGATAACCCCCATGTACTGGTAGGCTTCATTTGGGACCATCTTATAGGAGGAAGGGAATAGCAGTTGACCCCCCTCCAGTGGAGGAAATGTTCCATAAATGAACTGAAAGAAAACGGATATGCATTTTTAGATCAGTTGCAAGATAATATTCACCTATCATATCATCATCTATATAACTATCTTTGAAGTGTGGCTCCCATCTGCGAATTTCTAAATCCACAGATTGGGGCCATGCTGACACTGAAAACCCAGGTTTGCAGAAAAATTGAACTCAGAAGACGAGACTTGAATTGCCAAGTGTAAGTGACTGATGCATCTTAGTATTTTGCCGTATTTCCTTGATGTCTTGTGCTTCCAATGCCAATAAAGGTTTTGTGTGTATGTGTGAAAAATTGAACTCTTTAAAAAAATACATGGGGGGTTAAATTCCTCCCAGAATAATAAAAAAGCATTGTCTTTGCATATGCAGAGAACACACTTATCTTCCTTCTTCATAGTGGCAGACTCTGGAACTGCTCCAGGTATGGCTGAAGTGGTGTTAGCATCCATGAGACACTTCAGGGCTAGAGCAGCTCCCAGATACCACAGCTGCAGCAGCCAGGCCTTAACATGGATGCTGAAGCCTGAAACAATTCCAGGTTTGGTGATGGGGAAGGATGAGGCTGCCCCTATGAGTCTGGTGGGTCCCTACCAGGAACAGGAGATCAAAGTAAGGAGGGTGAGAAATATTGGAGAAGTAAAGGGGGGATTGCCAGAGAACAGAGAGGGAAAATACAGATGGGATAGGTTGTCAGAGAAGGAAAGGAGATTGATGAAAAGGGGTGGGAAGCAAAACAGGGAGTGGAGGTAGGTTGACAGATAAGGGGGAGAAGGAGGGGGATTCTCAGAGAAGGGAAGGAGAAAAAATAGAGGGGGTAGATTGATGGAGAAGGGGAGGGGAGTTTGACAGAGGTGGGCTAAGGGCAATGGAGGTAGGTAGGTTGGCAGTATTGTAAGTATTGTTTATATTTATTGTATGCTCTTATTATGTATTGTTTGTGATATATTGTGAGCCACCCTGAACCCAGAAATGGGTGGGATAGAAATAGTTGTTGTTGTTATTGAAAGGGGGTGGAGATTGTCAGAGAAGCAGAGGGGGTTAAGGGGGAGGATTGACAGACAGAAAAAGGGTTATATAATGCTAAATATCATGCTAAAGAGTCCACCCTCCAAACCAGCCACCCTATGAAAGCCAATGTGGCATACTAAGTTGCCACTTCAGAGCTGGATCTGGGGGACTCACCAGGGCCATGACAGCAATCCATACAACTTGTTCAGGCCCAGTCACCACTGTGTGACATAGGCCTGGTGGCCAGCACATGACTTTTGCAACTTAGCCAGGCTTTCCTGGTGAGGCATGGAAGAAAAGCTGAAGACGAGGGGGTGGGGTGGGCTAAAGGTAGATTGGCTAGGGGTGGGGAAGGAGAGAAGGAAGCAGGAAAAAGAGAGAGGCTACAGGGGCTTCCAAGGAAGGGAAACAGGAAAGATTGGGGGAAGGTACATGGGAAAATAAATACACCCACAACTCATTGTGGGTCACAGGCTTGTATGCTATATTTATGGAGGCGCTGTATTTCCATGCAGATAACCCACCTGTGGAATCTTGTAAATGGCTAAAATGGTGGCCATAATGGTCGAAGCTTCAGAGGCATGTCCCCCAATGACAGCAACAAGATTGTTTGAGATACCACACTTGAAATTGGGGAAGTTCCTTTGTTGTGTCGAAAGTAAGCTCAGAGTAGCCTTGTAGGTCACCTTTGGAAGGTAGTAGCAGTTGAGGATGTGGAAACCCCAAGTGAGGTTCAGTGGGAAGATGGGGTTCTCACTGATCTCTTTTATGGCAAATGTCAATGCCAAGATGTGCTGGTAGAACTTTGGGACTGAACTACAAGAAGAGTTAGAGGCTATTTACCAGTGAACAAACAGTGTACTCCTAGCCTACATCATAACTATAAGAAATAATGGCTGCTGACATTGGCAGAGCAGGCAAGGCTCCTGACACCTCATTTAACTTTTCACATTATTAAGTAGAGAAGAAGAAGAGAGAAGAAGCGATTGGATTTATACCCAGCCCATCACTATCCAAAGGAGTCTCAGAGCGGCTTACAATCTCCTTTCTCTTCCCCTCCCCACAACAGACACCCTGTGAGGTAGGTGGGGCTGAGAGAGCTCTTTGAGAACTGCTCTTGAGAGAACAGCTCTGAAAGAACTTGTAACTCACCCGGGTCACACCAGCTGCATGTGGAGGAGTGGGGAATCATACGGTTCTCTCAGATTAGAATTCGCATTACAAATCACTGCACCAAACTGGCTATCACATGTGGCTTCAAAATCATACAGGAACATAGAGTGAAGTTATTTTGAGAGACAGTGTCTTAAGCAACTTCTTCTGTTAGGGGTGCCAAATCTAGGTTAGGACATTCTTGGAGATTTGGGGATGGTGCCTGGGGAGAGGATGGACTTCAGTGGAGTATGATGCCATAGAGTCTACCCTCCAAGGCAGCCACTTTCTCTGGGGGGAGGGATATTGGTAATCTAGAGACCACTTGTAATTCTGGGAGATCTCCAGTCCCCACCTGGAGGTTGGCAACACTGCCAACTAATGATGACCATTTATTTTATTTTTAAAAATGTGTCCCTAACAAATAGATAATAGTCTGAATTTTCATAGCACAGCAAATTCTGGGAGATCTACACACACACACACACACATACACACACACACTCCTTGCTTTCACCATCCAATCAAATTATTCCTTTAGCAAACAGGAATAAATCTCTTTATGTATACAAACCAAACCAAGCAAACACAGTAATCTGCAGTAGTATTATAGCTGGATAGCAGAGTGTAAGTTCAGGGCTACCAGCTCATCAGCTTGGCAGAGGCTGCCCAAATGCAGGCAATGGATAGAAAGGGAGCCTTGAGAGAGCTAGCCAAGCATTATGAGCCAGTTTGGTGTAGTGGTTAAGTGCGCGGACTCTAATCTGGGAAAACCGGGTTTGATTACCCACTCCTCCACTTGCACCTGGCTGGATGACCTTGGGCAAGCCATAGCCCTGGCACAGCTGTTCTTGAAAAAGAGCAGTTTCTGTCAGAGCTCCCTCAGCCCCGCCTACCTCACAGGGTGTCTGTTGTGGGGAGGGGAGGGGAAAGGAGTTTGTAAGCCACTCTGAGACACCTTTGGGTAGTGAAGGGTGGGGTATAAATCCAATCTCCTCCTCCTCCTCTCTCTCTCTCTCTCTCTTTCTCTCTCTGCAGTTCTGTATTAAAGACACTAGGCTGCAATCACAAGCAAAATATTACTTTTGTACTGCTAATACGTTGAGTATAAATCAGTTAAACCAATAAAGAAATCAGTATAAAATCCACTCCCTAAAAGAGCAGATTCCCAGTCTAGGGGTGCTGCTAAACCCAGGTCCCAGTTGGATAAGCAGGTGGCAGTGGTGGCTGAGTTTGCCTTCCACAATTTTTGGCTTGCATACCCGAAGAACTTTCTGCTCCCATATGAACATACATGACTCCAAAAGGAAATACTGTGGGGAGGGGAATACAGGGGAAAGTGAGGTACCATCCCAAGAGCTCTTGAGGTACCATCTTCAGAGGCCCTTCTTTGGGTACCTTCATCATCTGAGCCTAGATGGGTGGCAACCTAAGGAAAGGTATTTTTTAAATTCGTCATGGCACCAAAATTATGGTGTTTTCTACCCATGGAGATGCCTGTATCCCCCTTAATTATTGCCTTCTCCATCGGGTGAAGATATCTCTCTTCCACCTGGTATACCCTTACTGACCCGCCTTCCTTCTTGGTTTGTTTGTTTTTTGCACACACACACATACACAAACACACAATTTTTAAAGTTGATAGTTAAGATTGTTAATTGTGTTTGCTAGCTTGAGGACCCTAATTGGGCAGCAATGCAAGTTAAAATATGTTAAATAAACAAATAAAGTACTACTTAACATTTTCATCTCATTTATTATAGTCTGAACATATTTCAGAAAGGGAGGGGGAATTCCTTACATAGGTTCACCAATCAACGTCCATTTGGGCTGTTCCACAAACAAGGGAGTTTCTTCGTACAAGAAGATATGAGAAGCTATCTTACCAAAGACAAGGTGCCCTGGCTGATAAAATTCATGAGGAATAGGCTTATCATAGATGGTGCAAAGAGTAGAATGTGTCTTGCAAATAGTATGATGCCGGAACAAAAGAAGGAACACCAGCACCAGAACCATCTGGATCACAGCTTTCCCCATATAGATGATGTTTCTATTGTTTCCCATAGAGTATTGTCTGCTTAGTTTTGTTGGATCACCCAGATGGCTGTTTTGGCACACTGAGGGAGCAATCATAAACAGGTCTACTCAGAATCTTAGTCTTCTGCTCAATAGAGCTTACTCTTTGGAAAGTGTGCTTAGGATTGCACTTAAAGCTGTGCCAGTGGTTATTTCTTCCTCATTGATTTCTGTAAACATTCTTCAGACCCTCATATTCTCATCACCAAACATACAGGCTTTGTTTTCAAACGATGCCACTTTCCTCATCAAGAAATAAGTTTTGTTGCTAGAAATTTTAAGAGCTTTGCTGTGACTTTCAAACAAAAAAATCGAGAATTGTCAGACAAATTCCCTTTTTCGAACGTTAATGAGCTTAAAAAAAAACCCTTTTGAAGAAGGATCATGGCCTATATGAAGAACATTGCAAAAAATATCAACCAAAAGAGCCACTGTGGCATAGTGGTTACAGTATTGCTCCAAGATCCGGGAGCATTTTGTCACAGATTCTTGCATAGATTTTTGGTTGGGGAATCTCGGCTACTCATACATTCTAGGCCTTACCTCTCTCCCAGGGATCTCATGAGGATAAAATGGATGAAAGATGATCTTTGGTCCCCATTGGGTAGAAAGGTGGAATATAAATGATGTAAATAAAATAAAGAGACCTGCCAGCAACTCCCTCTGTGAATGAATGACTTAATACCACTATGATGAGACTTTTTCACTCTATGAAACTTAGATATGTTGTATTTTATTATGGAAGGGAAAAAAGTCAAGATGCAGAAGTATGGATTTGGGGGTTTGAAAATAAGGAAAGATTAAGTCAAACATAACCTTGAATGTAAAGATGAAATGATCCTACAAAAGATCAACAGATGTCATGCCTTTCTCCTAATTCTTGTTCTGATCAGGATAGGATTTATTTATAGCATAATTCTGATGAAGTTAGCAGTCCCCGAAAGACTAGTAGGTAATGAGGAGAAAGCTGTAATTTCTACAGTGATTGGAGAACTACTCATCACCTCCCCAAAGGGTTGGCCTCCTGTCTGGCATGACACAACAATACAGAACTTTGAAACCCAATCAAAACTTTTAATCACTCCTTTGAATGATAACATGGAGAAAGTAGTGTATGGCCAGCTGATGTTACCTGAAATGAGCCAGTGAGCATGAGAAGTACATTTGAACACAGGGTTGGATCCAGACCCCTTTCTCACTCAATCTTGCCCAATTCACCTTCTTCCTACAGCCCTTGTCCCACATGTGTTTTCAATAGGCAGGCACCATGCTACCTAGCCTAGTGTTTTCAGGTGGGGAGGGGTCCTTGTCTTTTTTTTTCTTTACCCGTGGTTCATATTTCTTATCAATGGAAAAGCTGGTAGGATCCAGAGCATAATGTTTAGTTTGGAAAGTCAACCTGTAGCCAAAATCCTTTGTTGGTCCCATCTCGTTGTTATTTTGAGGATGAAATGGTAATAGGGCTGCTAGATCCCCTCGGGGGTCGGGGTTTACTCACTTTAGCGGCCCCCAACCCACCAGCCTGGATCTGGTTGGCAGGGGGAACCCTGCCTCCAAAGTGCCTGGAGTGGGTCGATGTGCTTGGCATGATGACTTCACCTGGAGGTGACGTCATTGTGCCAGGCATGTCACCAGGAGGACATAATCGCAGCACATGTGTGCAAAACTCTGAGACTGGGAGCCTCTTGCCCCTGCTAAAAAAAAGAAAAAGGTAAAGACTTGGCAACCATAAATGGTAATGACCCCATGTGCAGAAGGGTGGAATACAGATAAATCTAGAAATACATTCTTGGTGCTTGGTGCTTGGGGGGGGGGGTCAACAGTGGGAGGGATTCTAATGTCCTGGCCCCACTGGTGGACCTCCTGATGGCACTGGTATTTCTGGCCACTGTATGACACAGAGTGTTGGACTGGATGGGCCTTTGGCCTGATCCAACATTGGCGTCTCTTATGTTCTTATGTTCTTATTCTACCAGGTAGGATACCATTATAATTAATCTGTGGTAGATGGAAAGATGATGGATATATTTCTGAAGACCATGTAGTGAATTTGTAACTTGGGCAAAATGTGCCTGGGGAAGAGGAGTGCCTCTCAAACTTCGCTAGCATTCAGATGGAGTTTGACAGCCATTTACAAGACTGAAGCCCAAAGCAGATGTTGCTTCATTTGATTGATTAATGCTAATTCAAACCCTAAATAGATCAGGATGTTCATTCACCCTATAAATGCTTCCCTTCTTAATTCTCCTCCAGCATTCATATTATAAACAACATTAAGAGGCTGAAAAGAAACAAAAGCTTCATGTACTATGGAAATCTTGAGATTTTTTTTCTGTAGTTCTAACAAAGTGCAGAGGGAAACATGAAAATGTATTAATAAACAAATTTCCTTTTCCCTCCACTCTCTGTCTTGGCCCTTGATGCTTCTTTGACCTCCTGCTGTCAACAGGTGTGACATTAGCATGTTGATATTATTAAACTAGAGTGTGTAACAGGCAGCAGATGTGTCCAAGGAACTCTACCTGCTTGTAGCACCATCCTTCCTACTAATCAGCTACTTGGAAAAATTTATTCCAAAGTTAGTTTGCACACCTGAGCCTAGCTGCAACAATAATTGCTGGAACTGTGGCAATTACAGATAATTGCAAGGGCCAGACTTGACTTGTTCCACAGGGAGATGAAACTTCTGACAGTAACTAAATCGCAAGATCAATGTTCAGGAAACTACATGGTGCCGATCATCTCACTTGTGAAGCCTTCCAGCCAAGTTTTTTTCTGCTCCTGCTAGGCCACTCACTTGATTGACAGTAGGCAATTAGTGTAGCAAAGGTCCACATACTGTGCACTGAAAGAGTTAAATTATGTGACAGATAGGCAATCAGCGATAACATTCACTAGCCACAATTGTAACTATCTCTTTTACAGAACCATTCTGTTCATTCATTTCCCTGATGAACCCTTAGGGAGACATTTATTGGGTAAAACTTCTAAACAAGTATCATACAGTGACAGTCACTGTAAATGCTTTCTTTTCTTGGTCTCTGTATATTACATAAGCTGCACAAATTTGTTTGGCCCCATCGGTTTGTAACTTTTAGACCTGTTTGCTCAAAGTAACTTGTGAGGAACCTGTATTGAAATTAAAAAAGGGGTTTTTTTTTTGCCAAGTGTGCCAAACAAAAAGCAAAAATGATGTCAAATGAATTGCCCTTCATTTAACAGAATTTGACATACCCCACTGTGATACACCATTTCAGACCATATGTTGGGTTTATGTTTGAATGCTGATCTATCATAGATTCATAGAATCATAGAGTTGTAAGGAACCTCCAGGGTCATAACCCCCCTGCACAATGCAGGAAATTCACAAATACCTCCCCCTCCACACCCACAATGACCACCATTCCACACCCAGAAGATGACAAAGATAAACTTCACAAGTAGGAAACTAAATATTAAGAAGCTCAAACACTTTTTTCCTGACATGTATGTTTCTTCATAAATAAAGTTATTAACTGGAGGGTTTTCCCATCAAATAAATCCAACATGTAGCTAAAAATGATACTGCCAAGATTCAGGTTTACTAAGTGGCAGAACTGCAAGCCATTGGCTGGCAACTGTCAGGAGTTTGAGGGGAGGACATGGGAGTCGCCATCAGCTGACACTGTTACGTCATTTTTAGGGAAAAGCCAGAAGTGGCATCAGTTCACTCTAGGAATCCCAAGAAACTCTATGGTTTTATTAGGAAATTTTTTGCATGATGGGAACAATTTATGTACAAATTGTAGTTCACCATGGATTCTCCACACTTTCAAAGACACCTCTTCTCTAGTTCGGGTATCAACATCTTGCCACCTTTTAAAATTGTGTGGCAGCAAAACACAAACCAAAAAGGTCTAAAAGCCCCAGGTAACAAATATAGATTAAACTATTATTTATTAAAATCTAGGGTCTTTGCCCCTGCTTGCTCCACTTGATAACCTTGTAGCTTGCTAAACTCACAATATTTAATGGTAGTGTGAATATTCGATGAGCAGTTTGCCTGATGGATAAAGCAATAGCAAGGGTGGTCTTTTCTTTTTTGCAAACTGCCACCAAAATTTGATTTACAACATTTTTTTTTACCCACCATTCTCCCCAGTGGAGAAACCATGTGGCTTGCATTGTTCTTCTCTACTCTTTTTTATACTCACAACATCCTTGGGCGTCAGGTTACCAGGTCCTATCGTCGCTCTGGCCGGGGGATTGGGGGGCATTCCAGGAGTGGACAGGGATTCACATGACATGCTGACATCACCCAGAAAGGATATAAGTGTATCAGTGACATCAGGGGTGACACTGGTTTTTGGGCAAAACTCTATGGTAAAATCGCTCTCAAACCATAGAGTTTTGCCACCAAACCTGAGTATCATCCCCCAATGTCACCAGTGAACCTACATCACAACTGGGTGACAGTGCATAGTGCACAACATCACTGTTTGGGGGGAATTGTTTCCTGCCGGGAAGCTGGTTGCTGGCAGGTAGGAGTCCATGGAAGTGGGGGATCCCCTGCCCCCACCTGTCAGGTAGCCCTGTCATAGAACTGGAATGTGGAGGGGTGCACCACCTCCTCTTCATTCCCAGCTTATCCCTGTCTAGCTTGTGACAAAATGGCTGCCAGGCCTTAAAACAGATACCAGCCTGGTAGTTCCTTATGTGTGTGGGGGGGTACTCCATAGGGAACAATGGAGCTGCCATACCTCCCTGCCTACACTTCCCAGCATCCCTTGGGGGGAAAGAGCGGGAAAAGAGGGACAGAGCCAAGGGGTGGGGCCAGGGAGAGAGTGACTGTTTGGCTCCTGAGGAAAAAAGTCACTCAGCCTGGTCTTCAGCGTGAACGGCAGGCTTAAGGAAGAGCGCAGGTGGGACTCCTGTCACCAGAGACTCCTCCAGGGGCAATCCAGGCCACTATTGACCGTGGTGGAGAGCCAGGAGGGTGGCAGTGCTGGTGGCCAGTTCCGTGGAGAAGGGCTGGAGTTTCTCTCCACAACCGGAGAGGAAAACGCAAATCCTGGCCTGAGGCCGCAATCCACTACCAAAGTAGAGAGGGTGTGTGGTAGGGACAGAAGTCTTGCATTTTGATTCTGTTTGTTTTGTATGCCCAGGTTGTGTTGAAGTGCCTGAGTTTATTTTCTATGCCCAAAAATGTATATAGTTCAATAAATCTTCCTTTGTTGAGTTTAAAAAGCCTGGTGTGCCTCAACTACCTAGACTCCCCCGCTCTACACGTTACCAGGGGCAAAGGGAGGCCAGGGGACTTAAACGGGCCTAAAACTGGTGGGTTTCCAACCCTCCAGGGGGCGCCCAAACATTGAGATAACCACTTCCCAAGGTGGGAAAGTTAGCCAGAGGGGTCTCACTGTCCCTCAAGGAAGGCAGTGACTTGGGGCCGAAGAGCGTGCTGGCAGCCGATTGGATACCGAAGAAGGAGGCAGACGGAGACGGAGCGTAGCCGAGCGGTGGACGGAGACGGCGCTGACGAAAGTGTTGATTGCCAATTGGAGGCCGAGTGGGAGACAGACGGAGATGAGGAGCGCCGGGAGCAAATCGGAGGCTGATCATTTGGTCGGAGGGCGGAGCAGCAACAGCCGAGGACGTTCGAGCACAGCTGGGGCTAATTAGAGAGAGCCGGAGAAAGCCGAGTGTGCATGAAAGGAGACGGAAAGCCCGAGGGAGAGATTGAAATTGACAAAGCGAACTGAAAAGACTCTATTCATGGAAGCTGTCAAAGCCCTATTGTTTTGCCAGAGAGGGGATATTTTCTACCACCACTCTTGTCTTTGCTGAATGTGTTGGCTTCTCATGAGTAAAGTTTTGCTACCATTGTAAGTAACAGGGGTTTCTTGGGATGATAATCTTTGATAGGATAGTATGATTCCATTCATTACAGGAACTGCAAGTTCAATCATCATCCTGAAGAAGGTCACAGTTTTCAGGTTCTTGGTTTTATTTTTGGATGAATTATGACTGCCACAGTCAACTGTAGCTTTCAGTGAAGGGTGTGTGTGTCTTGGCCAGGATGTTCTACAGTAATTACATATATGGGAGCGAAAAAAGATCCTGAAAATATACATAACTCCAATAACAACAGAAACAATCCAAATCTTAAAAGTCGAGGAGAGTAAAAAAAAAAAAATGAAGTGCCTTCTGTTCCTCTAATTGACTTCATCCTGATCTGGCTAATGAAGTATCATCAGACCACAGAAGTTAAGCAGGGTAAGCTCAGGTTTGTATATGGATGGGAGATCACAAAAAAAATCGCCCACAATTCTCTTTAGTCTCAGGTATATAGTGAGATTCTTTATTATTGAAATTCCTGATATTGGAGAAACACTATGGAACTGAAAGTTCTGCAGTGTTACCAACTAAACAGTGTCATCCCTAGGTCAGCTCAGAGGTGGCAATGCTGATAAAGTTGTGTTGTCATGCTCCATTACTTTTCAGAGTTGGGTATATAGTGAGATTCTTTATTATTGAAATTCCTGATATTGGAGAAACACTATGGAACTGAAAGTTCTGCAGTGTTACCAACTAAACAGTGTCATCCCTAGGTCAGCTCAGAGGTGGCAATGCTGATAAAGTTGTGTTGTCATGCTCCATTACTTTTCAGAGTTACTTCCTGATGTGTGAGAAGGAAGTATGTAGAATGACTGAAAGAACTGACAAAAGAAAAAGAAGCATATTTATAGGTTTTTGAGCATTCTCAATTATTATTATCATCCCTTATGGGACTGAATAGATGTGTTTTCATTACAAGATTTTCCAGCTAAGAGTCTTAGGATGCATGATACTATAATGATGTAATAGTGAGTCTGCCATATCAATAGTACTAAGTTAAAATTAGTATTAAAGAGCAAAATATAGAAGGAAACATATTCATTTATTACTTCTCCTTATTAACTGTGCCTTGCTGTTCAGCTCTGGCCTCAGCAGTATGACGTAGCATTTGGGTGAAAAAATGCATCCCAGTAAACCAGCACTAGAGGTTAAGATGGAGAAGATCTCCACAGCCACCATGATTTTCCCCTTAGTGCTCAAGTAGGTTGGAACAAAGGACAGCCAAACACTGCAAAATACCAACATGCTGAAGGTGATAAATTTGGCTTCATTGAAACTGTCAGGCAACGTCCTTGCAAGAAAAGCCACCAAGAAGCTGACAATGGCCAGGAAGCCCATATATCCCAGGACAAAGTAAAACATGGCATCTGAGCCCTCGTTACAGTTCAATGTGATTTCCCCTTTCATTGAATGCATGTCCGCATCTGGGAATGGAGGGGATGTATTTAGCCAAAAAATGCAAATACATGCTTGAACAAAAGTGCAGGAAATTACAGTTGAATTTGCCATTCTTTTCCCTACCCATTTTCTCATGCTCGATCCTGGTTTGGTGGCCATAAATGCCAGAACAACAGTGATAGTTTTGGCTAGCACACTAGAAACAGCCACAGAAAATATAATGCCAAAGGCAGTTTGTCGGAGAAGGCAGGTCAGATATCCAGGTTTCCCAATGAAGAGCAAGGAACAGAGGAAGCAAAGCTGAAGGGAGGCGAGAAGAATATAGGTGAGGGCCCGGTTGTTAGCTTTGACTATTGGAGTGTGCTGGTGGTGCACAAATGTTCCAAGTACGAGTGTTGTCATTAGGAAGAAAGAAACAGCCAGTATAGCTAACGTGATTCCCAAGGGGTCTTTGTAAGACAAGTAGCTTACAATTTTGGGGATGCATTTAGTTTGATCCACATTGGGATAGAGCTCTTCTGAGCATTTGACACAGGCATCCATATCTAAGGAAAAGAAAACAATGAAATAGTTTTATATACTGACCAACATCCGAGGGCAAAGTACTCCCGCACTTTGGTGTTCCCTCTTGTGCACCCTTAATATTTTAAATGAGTTTATAAATTGCACTTAAGAGGTCTCAAAGTGGTCTGTGGGCAAGGAAATCTTTGATGTCACCTCAGCCATTCAATGGCATTTCATAAGTCATTCTATCATGCCCAGGAACCCACTGTAATATAGCCAATGTACTGGCAATGGGTATAAGGTATTGGGGCATGGACTACAGGGAAAACACGCTTCAAGTATTCATACACTACTAAGTTAATGCTCAGAATGGCAGTGGTTGTTGATAAAGAAGTTATTTATGGGCATGTGTACAGAAACAAATACTATTTTTATCTGGAATACAGGGAAAGTGCTGATACCATTATTCTGATGGGGGTATTACTATTGTTCCAATATCCATTGGGTGGGTTGGACGCAGAATTTCAGGTCAGGGAGAGAGGGTAAGAGAAGAAAGTGTTGGTTCTGGGACAACAGCTGTTAGTTGGCAACTCTCTCCCCTGTAAAATTTAAAGGGCCACTCCTTATTGAGCATAATGGTCATGTTGTGGACCATGATTGGGTGGAAAGGTGCCATCAAAATATTTTAAATGAATATATCTCTGTCATAGTACACAAAACAACTTTTGGGGAAAACATGGCTTTTTCTGATGAGTCACAGGGACAGCATTTTAGGGAACCTGTACAAACTGAGCTGCATAAATCTTTAAACACTAGTTTAAGCTAGTAATTTTGTCTGTTGCCTTTTTCAGCATTATAGGAGCAAACAGAACTTTGCCAGAAAAAACACTTTATTCAAGATGTGAGCGTTCGTGTGCATGCACATGAAATGGAATTACATAGCATAGTTGTATATATAGGTGGCTTGTTAAATTAGCATGCAAAATCATGAGGATATTTTTAAAAACAGATCAAAAGAATGACAGGCTGTTTTTAAAGAAATCCTCATGATTTTGCACGCTAATTTAACGAGGCACCTATATAGAATTATGATATGTAATTCCATTTCATTGTCTGACGAAGTGTGCATGCACATGAAAGATCACATCTTGACCCGTTGGACTCTAACTTTGTTCTATTGATTCAGAGCAACACGCCTGCCCAAGGGGCTGTGGTGGCTCAGTGGTTAAGACACTGAACTGCAGACTGGAAGGTTGGTAGTTCAGCAGTTCAGGACCTGCCAACCTAGCAGTTTGAAAACAAGAAATTGCAAATAGATAAATAGGTACTGCTTCGGTGGGAAAGTAAACAGCATTCTGTGCACCTCGGCATACAGTCATGCCAGCCACATGACCATGGAAACATCTTCAGACAGTGCTGGCCCTTTGGCTCGTAAGTGGAGATTAGCACCGTGCCCTAGAGTTGGATTCGACTGGCTTTTAAGCAAGGGAAACCTTTACCTTTACCTTTAACACGGCTGCCCACCTTGATCTTTGCCAAAAACTGACTTTTTGGGGCTTAGTGAGGCATCCAATAGAAATTCATGCTCAAGAATCTTGTTAATCAAGAAGAACCAATGAACAGAAGGTTTTTCCTCTTCCTCCCAAGTTCCCATATTTTGTGTACCATCATTATATTAGTTTTGCTAAATAGACTTGGGAAATGGTTCATATCTTTTTACATCATATCTCCTACCCATTTGTTCCGACATCATCCCTTCTGCGCACAGGCCACAATCATAGCAGCAAAATTTTGCATCCTCCCTCTTTTTCTTGCTGTAGCCAGGACGGCATTCATCATTGCACACAGAAATAGGCAGCACCTGTCCATACACAGAAAGGGTGATTTTACCACTCCCCAGAATAAAGACATAAGATACCAATACACAGGCTAAGCAAAGTTTTATTACATGGCTGGTGTGCAACCATTTTAAGTCGTACCTGCCCTTGTCATTTGGCTTGCTGCTTATAGGCAGCGCCTGCTGGCTCTCAGCATTTGGGCTACCCCACCCTAGCTCCAAAGTCAAATGGCATCACTGCCAGCCTTCTTCATCCTGACCTGGAAAGGGAATGTTGTCAAGAGTGGTTTTCCCTCCCCACCATGCCATACAGCTGTCAGAACAGCCAGGGTAGCATACCGGGGAGATCCAAGTTCAAATCCGCGCTTGTCAAGCAATAGAATGTATGACCACTGGCAGTCATTTTCTCTCAGTTTGGTGTAGTGGTTAGGAGCGCGGATTCTAATCTGGGAGAACCAGGTTTGGTTTCCCACTCTTCCACACACAGCTGCTGGTGTGACCTTGGGTCAGTTACAAATTGTTTCAGAGCTGTTCCCTCAAGGGCAGTTCTCAAAAGAGATTGACCACTGGCAGTCATTTTCTCTCAGTTTGGTGTAGTGGTTAGGAGCGCGGATTCTAATCTGGGAGAACCAGGTTTGGTTTCCCACTCTTCCACACACAGCTGCTGGTGTGACCTTGGGTCAGTTACAAATTGTTTCAGAGCTGTTCCCTCAAGGGCAGTTCTCAAAAGAGATCTCTCACCCCCACCTACCTCACAGGGTGTGGGAAGGGAAAGGAGATTGTAAGCCACTGGGACTCCTTCAGGTAGTGAAGGGCAGGGTATAAATCTAATCTCCTCCTCCTCCTCCT